CACACTCCAGGAGCCATGGGGCCATGGACACAGTCCTGTGAGGGTGAGCCGCCTGCCTGCCCCCATTACCGGAGACTTCCAGAACAAACCGGGCCCTGCTTGCTCTGGGAGGGTCCCCATGCCTCTGTGTCCGGTGCAGTACCTTGGGGCCTGCACCCTGCACATATCCATCTCAGTCTCCACGGCACTCTGTGGCCTCAGGACTGTCACACAGCCCTTGATTTATGACAGTCCCCGACTGTTGAGCCTTCAAGGTGTTACTTGAGTTTTTTGGTTATAGTAAGTGCTGTGGAAAAACATGTATTCTGGTGTAAATTTTGTGCCACTGACCGGGGGTCCTTGTCAACCAGGATGAATGGTCACCTGAGGGACACACTGCAGGACGAACAGCTCAGACGGACCCTGTTGACCTGTGTTAGAGCTGCTCACTCACACACTCCGCCTAGTGAGTGGACCCAGGACCCTCCGCACCTCTCAGACCAGTGACCCTGGTGGCCCTGGACTGCCAGACCTGCCTGGCCCCAGGATGAGTCCAACATGGGCTCCTTCCTACCCAGGAGACTCATCAGGCAAACTGGGGCTGGGCGACAGGCTGGCCACAGCCAGGTCACAGGGTCCCTGGTGGCAGGGGCACTAGGAGCCAGGCTCCAAGGACTGGAGGAGAAGTGCCGTCCACGCTGAGGGGAGGGACAGGAGGTCAGGGTGGTGTCCACGGTATGGGGCCCGAGGGTGGGGCATCTATGCCAGCTCAGTCCCAGCAGTGAGGTGCCATGGAAACCACGTGTAGTCACGGCAAACACTGGCTTCCTAGATGGGTCATGTTCCAAGTCGGGGGAAATCCGAGGGTAGTTGAGGCAGTGAAAGAACAAAACTGCCTGTGTTCAGCGGACGCCTGGGGGTCCAGGGCTTTGGCATTTGTAACGAAGGCGGCTTTCCAGTGCCCACGCCCCGGGAAGGGCGAGGACATTCGGAAACACCGCAGTCGGGGTGTGCCCTCAGACACTGCCCCCACAGGCTCAGTCACCACACTCTCCTCGAAGGCATGTGGCCTTTCTCAGGGGGTGGAAAAACCCTCAGCCACTCCTCCTGACAGATGGAGTCCCTGCCCAGAGTGACTTTGGCTCACACGACATTAGAGCAGGAAGAAGCACCTGGAGGTGTTAGGGTCTCTGTGAGGGACACTGACCTTAGTGTCCCACAGGTGGCAGGAGGGAGAAACCCTGAATATTAGGGCCCCACGTGGTCAGAGGCAGTGTGTGGGGCCAGCAGCTTGTGCAGTGTGTGCCCTCCATCCTGTCGGCTAGGCACAGACGCCCCAGGCTGGGGAGAGCCATCCTCCCTTGTCTGTCGTCTGTCCCACTGGGTGTGGCCTTTGCAGCCTCCTGTTTAGCAAATTCCATCAGGCAGAGCCTGAAGGGCAGCTGCTTCATGCCCGTGGTGCCTGGGGAGGTGACCAGGCAGCCTGGCTGAGCTGGGTCACCAGCCTGGGTCAACCATGTACCTTTGGCACCTTAACCTCCCTCAGTTGACTCAGCTGGATGGGGGTCCAGCTCTTCCCCTGCCATTAGAATGACTGAGGTGCAAGGCATCTGCAGCTGTTAACGTACAGGTCGGACAGAGACTGCAATTGGAACCACAACCCAGTGCTAAGCTAAAGTGGACTCTGCTCCTGTGGCCAGAGAGCCATCCGTCCACATGGCGCTGGGGACCCGCAGTGAGGGACCAGAGTCCTTGGTCCTGTGCTGTCAGCTGTCTGAGTCTCAGAACACACAACAGGGCTGAGGGGCTCCTGAGACACCCAGAGCTGGCTGGGGAGGGCCAGGCAGGCCAGGCAAGCCACACATTCCAGAAACTGCACCAACACTCTGCCCAGTAGTGTGACTGCCGGGTGGCCTAGGTGACAGCCTGGCTCACAAGGCCTTAGCACAGCAGAGTGTAGTGTGGACAGATAGGAGGCCCAGAGCCAGGCTTGGGGCTACCTCCTGACACTGGGAGACTCTGGGGGGGTCTGGCTTCTTTGCAGGGTAGACCTGCTCCGAGACCGAGGGACCCAAGGATGGTAAGGACCGGCAAGCACACCACACACCAAGCAAAGGGTCTGGTCAGGCCCCTCCTGTCCTATGGCCCACACTTTCTTCTCCCTCCTGGCCCCACCACCCCATCCTCCCAGGAGGAGACCCCACACTAGGGACGACTCCTCCCTGCCAGGCATTCCCTCCCTGTGCCCAGGGAGGTGGGCACCACCGAGGCAGGGGCTGGCCACCCACCACACCTCACTCAGAGCCATCACGGTGTTTACAGCAAAAGTGAGTGGGGATTTTTTTTTTCTTTTAAAACTTGTTTTTAACTGATACACACAAAAACAGGAAGATCGTACGTGCTCAAGGTGATGTGTGACGTCCAGTGCTATGTGCCCCACAGGGTTTAAGTCATGTTAAACCAGCAACTCTTCCTCCTTTAAAAAAGAAATCCGTTCTCAGAAAGCTGGAAGGACTTTTTTAGAGAGCAGGAAGTGACCTGCGCTGGGCTGGCGGTCTCTGGGGGCGCTGTTGCTCCATGGACAGAGGTCGCCTAGCCCTCCCGCTGGTCCCGACCGCACCCAGGCTGGGATCCAAAGCCTCACTCAGTGCTGTGCCCTGGGTATTCCTTCCTTCCCACTGCCACCCGTTTTTATGGGTTTGTGAATGCATGTCCCCTTTCCTGTGCTGACAGAGGCACCAAGAGCCAGGGAACGGGGAGGAGGGAAGCCCGTCCCAGACCGCCCCCTGCAGGCGCTCAAGGCCAGGCAGGGTGTAGGGAAAAGTGGGGGTGAAGACCTGCTCCTAGAGTCCGGTCTGCAATCTCAGATGAGGGACTCAAGGACAGAGACCCTGCAGGTCACAGGGGGAGCTATGGGCTGGTTGTCCAACCCTTCTCTGGAGAGCTTTGAACACACATGAGGGGTGAACACACACAGCACCCTGGCTGGGGTCACAGGGCCCTTGTCACACCAATTCCTCAGTCCCAATCTCTGGTGGCAACTCTGGTGCCCAGCACTGAGGTCCAGGCCGGCCCAGAAGCAAGCAACCCAGCAAGTCTTGGTGTGTGATCATCACACATGGATCTGGGGCTGGGGAGAGGGGTGGATAGGGACAAGAGATGACCTGGGCATCCATAGAAAGGCTCTGATGTGTTCCTGGGGGGAGGGCGACATAGAGCTAGAGATGCAGAGACAGAGAGAGAGAGAGAGAGAGAGACAGCGAGAGAGGCAGAGATATAAAGAAGCAGAGACAAGAGGGAGCAATGGTGCCGTGAGTGGGGCCACCTCTGGGTAGGGTGTGGTGATCAGACAGTGGGGACAGCAACCAACCAGGTAGCCAGGACTGGGAAGGTGTTCTCTCACACTTGCTGTGTGCTATGTCCCCTCCAACTCATCCCTGTTTCCATCACAGAGGCCACATGGAGAGGACAGAGCAGGGCCCACTGGGCCAGGACCCCAGGAAGAAATGGTGCCCTGGGGCGATGCCACACGGAGTGGTAGTCTCCCCAGGTGAGCCGGCCGCTTTTCTACAAAAGGAAACTAAACAGCTAAAGCGCTGCTCTGAGCATCTTGGGCCAAGCATGGCTGAGCCACATCTCCCCGAGGTGAGACCCACCTCCATAGCCACCATGGAGGTGCAGGCCAGGGTGAGGCAGGGGTGGCACTGGGCATCAGCCTGCGTGCTGAGGGACCTCCAGCCTGAACAGCACTGATGCCTGCAGGGCCTGCGGGATGGCCAGACCAGGAGGTGCTGGGCCCGCCCTGTGCCAGGCTGTCCTTCCTTCCACCGCATGAGAGCCACTTTCACCTCCCCACTCAGCAGGGTGACTCGGGCCCTCGGCCCCTCAGCCTTGCATGTGGGAATCAGGACTCACACCGTCCTTATTGCTCATAACATGTGAACAGCATCTGTCCCTGTCCCCAAACCTCAGCACGTGACAGCCGCCACCCTGGAGAGGACGCAGCTGGACCTGGAGAGGCCCACTATTGCAACCTCCCTGCAGCGGGGGCTCAGAATCCCCGAGTTGTATGGGAAGCAGTCCGCACACGTGGCCCAGAGCCCACCGCCCTAAGCCACAGCGGGGGGCCGTGGCTGGGGTGAGATGAGGGGCATGAGGAGCAGGTGCCCACCCCGTGGCGTGGTCTGTGAGGTGGCAGAGTGGGGGGGAGCACTGGGAGCAATCCCAGGACAGCCAGGTGGGGGCCCAGAACTAAGTGTGGCTTTCGAAGGTTTTCTCGAAAGTTCCTCTACTATTAATCACATCAATATTTTAATCATATTTTGGTACACCATTATAAAACGTTTAGTCTCGTAATAAGCAAGCATCATTAGCTCCAGGACTGTTCCAGAACCTTCTCTGGGGCAGGGATACATCTGGCTTCACCTGGAGCCCTAACCGCCCGGGGTGCACCACAGTGTCGCACACAACACACTTAGATGTGGTCACTCCTCACGTTCACACACACACTCAGTCTCTCACTCACAGGTGCACTCAGCCACACGCTCACACAGTCACTCACATCCTCACACAGTGTGCTCTCACACCTCTGTATACTTGTTGACAACTTTTTCCCCATAGTAAAAATGGAAATATCTCTGCAAATAGTGTTGTACTAAACTGTGAAGAAAACTCACACAAGAACAGCTCAGAAGCCCGGGGGCTTGGTGGACCAGACAGTGGCGATGAACTGGGCCCTACAGTTCCAGGGACTGGACAGGGTTTGCATTGAAACAACCAGAACTGTTTCACAAAAATTTGCTTTGGTCCTTCCGTCCCCTGCAAGCAAGCAAAGTCCCACGACTGGTGGGAAACAATCCTACAACCCAGGAGCACCCTGGCTCGGAGGGGGCTTTTCTTTCAGAAGGTTCTGGAGCCGGCTCACTCTGTGACTCACCCTGTGGCCGGCCCCTCCCTCGTCCCTGTCCCGCCCCTCCTCTCCTCCCTCCCCCCGGCTCCCGCGCCCTGGGCTGTAACTGCAGCAGGCGGCAGCGGCAGAGGTTCTCACTCTGCAGCACCCGCACCACCGCCCACCCCGACCCCGGCCCTCTTTCAGTGGTGACCCACAGGCTGGCAGGCGACATGAGGGTGGCCGGTGCACTGCTGCCCCTGCTGATGCAGGCCTGTTGGGTGGCCACACAGGAAGTCCCAGGGACCTCAAAGGCCATCGCCTTCCAAGGTGAGTGGACTCCAGTTTTTCTGCTGCTGGGAGGGATGCCTGGAAGTAGAGGGGACCTGTCCCCTCCCACTGTGAGAGCCAAGGACAAGGGGCTTTGTTGGGGCCTGAGATTCCCCTACTTAGTTCCCTGTCCCAGGACAGCTGGGGCCTCGGGCTTCCCACCCCAGCAAGGCCCTTGGCTTCTGTCACTTCGAGCCTCCCCATTCTCAGGGGGTGTCAGGCTGGGAAACCTGGGAGAGACCCGCTGGTGAGGGGCAGCCAGAAGCCATCTTTTCAGGTCACTTTTCTCTTCTCTGTGAACAACTGACCTGAAGGACCAAATGCTGTCCCTTTGGCTCCTCGCCAGCCAGCCAACCTATGTGACTGTTCCCGCATACCTCAGCATGCGATTGTGCCCCTGGTGTCTTTAAATCCACCTTGAAAATTTAAAGAGGAACAGAATTCTTTGTCCAGTCCTGTCCCAGGGAACCCCTGTCATTTGGAGGCCTTGCTGAGGCCTTTCTAACTCTGAGGAAGTATCACTCACAGAAACGCCCTGGGGTCTGGTTTTACCCCATCCACTGCTGGGTGTCCCCGCTGGGCAACTGGAGGCTGGGCCAAGCTCACCTACCTGGGGCTCTGCTGGTGGGGGATGAGTAAACCTCGGTGGGCAAAGGGACCTCTTGTGCAAGAAGGGTATAGGTCATGGCTCAGAAGACTCCCTCCTTGGCCCAGACTGCCCTGTGGACTTGTTCTTTGTGCTGGACACCTCTGAGAGCGTGGCCTTGAGGCTGAAGCCGTATGGGGCCCTGGTGGACAAGGTCAAGTCCTTCACCAAGCGCTTCATCGACAACCTGAGAGACAGGTAGGGTTGGTGCATGGTGGCTGGTCTTGCATTTTTGTGGGCCAAGGGGCTTGGCAGACAAGGCAGGGGCTCATCTGCCCACTTGAGAAGGACACCCAACTCAGGGGACCAGAGAGAGACAACACAGCTTACATGTGGCACCTAGCCAGCAGGAAGGCCTAAGGGGACCATGCTGAGTGCTGAGCTGTAGGTCCCCAAACAGATGAGGAATTGCAGCTCCCCAAGCAAACTGAGTGAGTATGGGGAGCTGGCCACAAGCATGCAGTTCTGCCTGGTGCCTGGGGGCCTGGATTTCACTGACCCCACTCACCACCCACGTGGGCCAGCAGAGCCTCTGCTCTGGTCCTGGGCCTGATGTCCCGAGCACAGGGGCATGAGTGACTTGCAGCCCATCCACCTCCACAGCCTCTGGGGCCCCCAGGCCCTGGGTATGGGGCACAGCACTTCATTCACTGGCTCCCTCCCTCTCCTTCCCTCTGGGGATGTAGCCCTGGGAGGTGTGGCCTGGAAGTTATAGAGAATGAGTCCCCCCCACCTGTGACAGGGCTGCAGTGGTATGAGGACTGGGGCTCAGTCAGACAGCTTAGCCCCTCCCCTGGTCTTACCCTGACCCTACTGGGCACTGGCCAAGGGCCAGGGCCTCCTGTCCTTGGAAGGTGTCACAGAGACAGTGGCACCTGCAAGCAGGGGGGTTATCCAACCCAGAAGGGTTTCTTAGACCAGAACCAGAAACATAGTAAAAATGCCTGGGTCAGGGGGAGAGAGGAAGAGGGCCCAGCTGTGGACGTCAGCATGCAACCCAGCGTTTCCTGACCCATGTTCCTGTGCCTCAGTTTCCCACCTATGAAGTGGGTTAGAGCTGCCCTGCTTTTAGGGCCTCAGTCACTCTGTCTCCTGAAAGGTGGGCAGGTTACCCAGGGTCCAGCAGAGCAGACACAGGAGGACCCTAGGACTAGGCACTGCAGAGCAAGGCAGAGATCACTCAGACCTGCTCTGGGGTCCCAATGTCCCATTAAAACTGACATGCCAAGCCCCCACTGTCATGAGCCCCTCTTCTGTCCACGACTGGGTCTGTGGCCCCAGATGGGATCACAGTGCACACAGCTCCTCACCCACAATACCAGGTCAGTAGTCCTGGGGCATGTACTCCGGGAAGGCCTGCTCCTCACCCCACCCTGCGTGGCTTACAGGTACTACCGCTGTGACCGCAACCTGGTGTGGAATGCAGGTGCCCTGCACTACAGCGATGAGGTGGAAATCATCCGTGGACTCACGCGCATGCCCAGCGGCCGTGATGAGCTCAAGGCCAGCGTGGACGCCATCAAGTACTTTGGCAAGGGCACCTACACCGACTGCGCCATCAAGAAGGGGCTGGAGGAGCTGCTCATTGGGTGAGTGGCCGCCGCCGTCCACGTATCCAGCCTGGGTGGGGCTGGCCTTGGAGCCTCAGGTGGCTTCTGCCCCCTTGGGGATCCTGCCAGGCCCTGGGCTGCCAAGTGACCAACAAATCCTGGGCCTGAGATCCAGAGACCCGTCCCAGTGAGGGACAGACCATCAGCCTGCCCAGTATCTATGGACCACGCCCACCTACATACCGAGCCAATGTCTCCCTGATCAATGACCTGAACGTCCCCAGTCACTGCCCCTCTGTGGCAAACAAAGCTGACTTCTGCAGAGACAGAGGCAGAGATAGAAACAGACATAGAAACAAAGCAACAGAAAACAGAAATAGAGATAGAGGTGCACAGAAGCACAGAGACGGAGATAGAGAGAAAGAGATGGAAAGACAGTGACGGAAAGACAGTGACAAAAGACAGACAAAGAAACACAGAGAGAGACAGAAAGAGAGACAGGGAGAGGGAATTTGGTTCTTATGGAACATGGTGCAGAGCGTTGCTGGACCTGATCGACTGGATCTCTAATCTCTCTGTCTCTGTCTCTGCAAAAGTCTGCCCACTGGTCTGGGTTTTCTTCTCAGAATGGTTCTGTGTTTGTCCCATAAGGGCCCAGGTGTGGAGCTGATGGATGAGGGCAGCCATGACCCTACTCCCCCTCAGGGAGCCCTAAGGCTTTGTGTCCATGCCCAGCCCCCCACAGCAGAGGCTGCCCTGGGTGGCTGGTGCTGGGGAGGGTCATCAAACCCCCCACCTTCCCTCTGTGCTGGTCTTTGAGAGGCACCAAAGTGACCAGTGTCGGACTGAGGCCATGCTCCCCTCTGAGTCCTGTGGAGTCCACACACTCCACAGCTGTCTAGGATGGTGGCCAGGTGAGGTCGGAGTTGCAGGAGGTGGGCCAGGCCCTGTGTTCCATTGTCCATGGAGGGCGCTGGGCAGCCATGTGAGGTGGGAAGGCACTGCATCGGGACGTGGCTTCAAGTGCAGACCCCACATGGAATCCACAGAATAAATGCAAAGCTGTGTTTTCTAGAAACGCTCAGCCTGGTTCTGTACAACGCCCTCCCTGCACGGTCAGCATGCCCATCTCAGGTCCTTTCCCCAGGGCAGAGCAATGCCAGGCTGTGTGTGGGTCGCTGGCCACCCTCAGCCACCACACCTCCCACAGGTCGAGGTGCAGCCTCGGTCACACTCTGCTCTTGGGAGTCTCAGGTTCCTGGAGCTGATTGCATGCTGAGGACTCTGAGCCTCAACTTGGGACGGTATGCATCTCTCAAAGTAGGTTTCTTAGAGAAATGTGGCTGGACAAGACCTTATTTTCTATTTTGATACTTTTTATAATCACTATCAACCTAGGGTAGCAGAGTTCCCAGAGCTGGGCACCTCCAGTTTAGGGGGGTCTCAGCTCTGTGGTTCCAGGGACCCTGAGCTGGAGGAGCCCTGGAGAGGGTCTCACATGGCCTGCTCCTCCAGGGGCTCCCACCTGAAGGAGAACAAGTACCTGATTGTGGTGACTGATGGGCACCCCTTGGAAGGCTACAAGGAGCCGTGTGGGGGTCTGGAGGATGCAGTGAATGAGGCCAAGCACCTAGGCATCAAGGTCTTCTCTGTGGCCATCACGCCTGACCACTTGGTGAGACCCCACCCTCCCTATGCCCCCAGTGCACAGCACCTAAGGCTGCTGCAACCACCACCTGTGGCCCCCACAGGCTATAGGTGTCCCTTGGCCCTTGCCTGGTGCACACAGAGTCTATTTCCCACCTTCTGGGACCCTGATGTGGCTCCTGTGGAAGGGACTCACTATCAGGTGGCCCTAGCCTTCCATGAGCTGACCCTGCCCCACTGAGGACCTGGGTGTGTCTGTGTTGGCTCTGCAATGCCCACCCCAGCCATCCCTTATCATGAGTCCCACTGGGTGGGCGCTGGAGCTGGCACAGTGACAGAGGCCAGGCTCATTCTCCCCCATCCCACCCCAGGAGCCACGTCTGAGCATAATTGCCACAGACCACACGTACAGGCGTAACTTCACAGCCGCAGACTGGGGACAGAGCATCGGTGCAGAGGAGGTCATCAGCCAGACCATTGACACCATTGTGGACATGATTGTGAGCGCTGCTGTCCACCGCGTGGGGTCGGGGAGCGCTGTGCCCTGCAGGGAGAGAAAGTAACCCGCTTTTCTGTTTCCATTCCAGAAAAACAATGTGGAGCAAGTGGTAAGAGCCCCTTCCCCTTCAGCCTGTGCAGTCAGAGTGCACGCGTGTCCCCCACATGTCTGTGCACCAAAGCGCACGTGTGTGTCAACATGCTTTCCTGCCTGTGTCCGGGCACTGGTTCCCTGCTTTTGGACTTTCTGACCTGTGTCTCCTGTGTCTTCCCCCCAACAGTGCTGCTCCTTCGAGTGCCAGGTGAGTTTAACCGCCCCCCAGCAACCCACCCCATGACCCCTGTCTGGAGTCTGGAGCTGACCTGTCCCTCATGTCTTGCAGCCTGCCAGAGGACCTCCAGGACCTCGAGGGGACCCTGGGTATGAGGTGAGTGGATGAACCTGCTCCTGCTCCTGTGGGGGGAGACCCATGGGACTACAGCCTGCATCAGCCTCCCAGGCTACCTCATGTGCCCAGCACTGGCTGGGAAGGTGCCTCAAGTCCAGGGAGAAAGTCCAGGCAGCAGGGCCCCGGTGAGATGGTGGGTGTGGAGTAGACCGGCCATGAGTACTGGGCCACAAGGCCTCCTCCCTGTCATCCAGGAAGCTGCCCCAAACCACAGCCCTCCCTGGCACCCACTTGGCTCCTGGAAAAGCCTTCTTGTGGGATCCAGGCATGAAGCAGGGGCCTGAGACCTGGCCTGGCTTGTACAGCATGATATGAACATTAAAAGTAGTCATCAAGGGCCAAGTGCCATGGCTCATACTTGTAATGCCACCTATTTGGAAGATGGAGATTGGCTCAAGGCCAGCCAAGGGCAAAAAGTTACTGAGACCCCATCTCAATCAATAAGCCAGGTGTGGTGGTTCACGAATCCTAGCCATGTGGGAGGCTATAGGTAGGAGAATCTGAGGTCAGTCCCTGACAAAATCTCAAGACCCTATCTGAAAAACAACTAAAGCAAAAAAAGGTACAGGGGTGAGGCTCAAGTGGTAAAGTGCCTGTCTAGCAAGTGCAAGGCTCTGAGCTCAAACCCCAGAATTGAGGGGGGAAAAAAAAGCTGGGCACAGTGCTTCATACCTATAATCCTAGTTACTTAGAGGTGGAGCTCAAGAGGATTTCAGTTTGAGGCCAATCCCCAGGTGCAGTCGTTCACCCCTGTCATCCCCAGCTGTGTGGGGAATCACAAATAGTAGGATGGTGGTTCAGGCCGGCCCAGGCATGAAGTGAGACCCTATCTCAAAGTAGCCAAGGCAAAAAGGTCTGGGGGCCTGGCTCACGTGGTACCTAGCAAGTGGGAAGCCCTGAGTTCAAATCCCAGTACAACCCCAAAAAGAAAAATTACTGTACACCCTGGAGGACTGGTCAAGAAACATGGGCTTTCTGACTCCTAAGAAAGGTCAGATCCTGGTCTGGCCCTCCAGCCACGTGGTCTCCATCCACAGAGCTAGATCCACCTGTTTAACTGGTGCTCTCCTGAAAACTGGTGGCAGACGTTCTCGTCCTCAATCCAGCATGGTGACTGGGTGTGAGGACTCTAGGATGGGATCCCAAAGCCTCAGGGAAGGGAGTGGGAGCCAGGAGGACTCTGGAGGCAAATGGAATCTCCTAAAGACCTGCTTATATGTACCCAGAGTCCCGTCCCCAGCCTTCTAGAACTATGCTGGATGACCCCTAACCTGGTCTGCTCTGTCCCCTAGGGCGAGCGAGGAAAGCCTGGTCTCCCCGGAGAGAAAGGAGAAGCTGGAGACCCCGTGAGTATCGAGTGCCTGGCTGTAGGGGGGCAGCAGACACTGAGAAGGCTGAGACTGTGAACTGGGCTGCAGGAACCTCCAGAAGGATGGTTTCTGAGCACGGAGATCACACAGTTTATCCCTCTTTGGGGGTGGGGCCTGCCCCAGGGATCATCAGAGTCCCAGGGCCTCTGCTGTGGGCCTTGGCCAGTTGCCCACAGGAGTCCCCTTCCTCTCCCCCTCCTCCTGGGAGCCTTGACTTCCCCTCCCCTCCCCCTTCTCGGGCTTCTTCACTTCCCCCTCCCCTTGCTCCCTTCTCCCTTCCTTCCAGGCTACCTGGCTCCCCTACTCTGGCAGCTCACTGTGAGATCCTGGAGACGCACAGGTGGCCCTCACAGCAGGCCACTCTTGGATGCTGTCTGGTCTCTCCAGCTGACCAGGCTTGGGCTGCAGCAAGGAGTGAGGTGGGCTGGGTGGCTGCTGGTATGTCCAGGTGTGTCTGACCGTCCTCTTTTCTGTTCCAGGGAAGGCCTGGGGACCTGGGACCAGTCGGGTACCAGGGAATGAAGGTGCGTGTCCAGGCTCCCTCAGGCTGAGCGGGTTGAACTGGGCCGGTCCACGTTGGTCCACATGGTGTGTGAATGACATCCATTTTCCACTTGTGTTTGCTTGCAGGGAGAAAAGGGGAGCCGTGGGGAGAAGGTGAGTGAAGCTCGACTTCAGGTCGTGTCCCTGTGCACACAGAGCTTCATCTTGCCTGGATGAGGAGCCATTGCTGGGAGGTGGCGGTGTCCCTGTGGGGGACATGGCCAGCAAACACCTGCCCTGACTCCCTGCTCTCCCCCATGTCCCCTGAGCTTTGAGGCTTGGATCAGCCAGGCCTGGGGACAGACAGCACCCGTCACTCTCATCCACCTCAAGGGGCACTGACAGTTCCTGGAGACCCTCTGAACACGAAGCCTGGCCCTCCTCCCCACCCTTCCCTCCTTGTGCCCCGGCCCTATGATTCTCATGGTGGTAGGCACTCCCTAGGATTTGGGACAACTTTGCATTCACAGGGGGTCCCTGCCCAGCTTCTCCTGACTTGTCCTCATCTGCTGGGCATACATAGCTGAAGTGGGGTGGTAAGCCTCCCTCCAGTCCAGGTGGGGACCACCCCTCACCTTCTCTTCCTGTCTTTACAGGGCTCCAGGGGACCCAAAGGCTACAAGGTGAGTGGGGGTGACTGAGAACATGAGTGTCCCCACCATAACCCGGTGCTGTCTGACCTTCATCTGATCTTTCTTTTGTCTCCATGCACAGGGCGAGAAGGGCAAGAGAGGCATCGATGGAGTGGATGGCATGAAGGTGACTCCAGGGGCGGAGGGCTGGGTGCCAGGGCATGCAGTCTGGGGACAGGAGGTGGGCAAACAGGCACCATCCCTGGGTGGAGGGTCAGGTTCTCATGGTTTGGACCTCCCCAGGTGACTTGGTGGTGTAAAGTCAGATGTTTCCTCAGGTTCCAGTGGGCCCCAAGCCACCCGTTAAGCTTAAGAGGGCTGCGGCTTTCCTGGGAGGGGCAGGGATGGGCAAAGCCAAGAAGATTGGAGGCTGGTTCACCTCAACTGCCCACTTGACCATCTCAACCTGACCTTTTCTTCCTCTTCCAGGGGGAGACAGGGTACCCAGGCCTGCCAGGCTGCAAGGGCTCACCAGGATTCGATGTAAGTCACCTCTTCTTCCCATATTTTGGGACTGTGGGATTTTTAGAACCTTGCTCCAAACCCTTCTGTACTTCTAAGAGTTGCCAATGTCTGTGCCGCGTACAGGCTTGCTTGAGTCCTGATGGCACAGCTGGACAGTTGCCTGCCTGGGGCCCATGAAGGCCTCTGCTAGCTGTGACCTGCCGTGTTTGTCTTCTTACCAGGGCATTCAAGGACCCCCTGGCCCCAAAGGTGATGCTGGCGCCTTTGGACTAAAAGGAGAAAAGGTGAGTGACCCGTGGCCTCTCAAGGGCTGGAGGCTTCGTTGGCCTCTAGGTTCTGAGTCAGACATTCATTCCTCCTGGGAGGATGGGTCGTGGTTCAGTGGAGAAGTCAGAAGCCAAGTGGGCAGGCAGAGCAGTGGCCAGAGCAGTGGCCAGGCTGTGGGCAACCACCTGTAGAAGAGCTACCCAGGGGCTCCCAAAGCCTGGTAATCTTAAGCTGAATAGCCCTGCAGCTCAGTCAATTTATCTGAATCTCTGTCCTTAGCAAAACCTGAATTTAAGAGCAAAGGGAGACAATGATGGCAGAAAAGTGAAGCATGCAAAGGTTTTTACATCCGACTTGAGGCTGTGTCTTCCATTGCGTCTCCCTGGGGATTCTCATGGGGACAGAATGTGTAGGAGAGATGGGGAGGAGTCTGCCCCTGCCCCAGGAGTCCCAAGGAGGCCCTCCTGGATTGAGCAAAGGTTTTGGGGTCTCATGGTAGAGAGTGAAGGTCACCCTCCAGGCTCAGACTTTGAGTTTTCCATTTGCAGCCTGGCAGGTTGGAGCTTCCCGATTAGGTCAGGTGGCTGGGCAGGGCCAGAAGCAGTGTTCTGCAGCATGGGTAGGGTCAGAGGCTTATATAGCATTGGTCAGAGCAGCCTCATACTGGAGTGGTAGGGCAGGCACCGTCACTGAACTCCCAGGATGGGCCCTGATTTGGCTTCTGAAGGCTGTACCCTGAGCAGCATCTGTGACCCCTCACCTTCCCCAGGGCGAAGCTGGAGCAGATGGGGAGGCTGGGAGACCTGGGAGCTCGGGACCACCTGGAGATGAGGTAAGACAAGGTGACCAAGGTGAGACAAGATGAGCCTCATGTATGTACACTGGGGCTTGGGGCCACATAGCTAGACAGAGGATTCTACTCTTGTCCTCCCACAGGGCGAGCCAGGAGAGCCTGGGCCCCCTGGAGAGAAAGGAGAGGCTGGTGACGAGGTGAGACCCCCTACCCCTGCCCTTCACCCTTCACCTGAGCACAGGGTGGCCGGGCACAGGCTGTGCACAAACTAATGCTGGGTTTGTTCCTCTTCGTCTCAGGGCAATGCAGGACCAGATGGTGCCCCAGGAGAGAAGGTGAGTCAGCAGGTGGCAAGGCCTCCATCCTCACCACACAGCGTAGGCAAGGCCAGCATGGCCCAGCCTGGTCCCAGCCCCCGCAGGTCCATGGCACTCCCATCTGTACCCTGTGGGTCTCACCTGCCCTCCAGGATTCTTTGGCACTGGCAGAAAGCTAGGTGCTGACCATCCTGGGGCCTTAGATCCTTGGGGTCTCTGGAGGCAGGTGGACCTGAGGAGCAGGGAGGCCCAACCTCTGGAATGACCTGGAGAGGGAACAGAGATGACTGTGGACGTGCTCCAGCCCAGGCCTTAAGCCCCCACCCTCTGCCGGTGAACCCCATGGCTTCAGCTTCATACCTGTTCCTCTCCACGCAGGGTGGCCCTGGAGAAAGAGGACCTCGGGGGACCCCAGGTGTACGGGGACCAAGAGGAGATCTGGTGAGCTACATCGTGAAGCTGGGGCCCTGCCTGGAGGTGGGGGCCATGCTGAGGCCAGGGTCAGGCATCAGAGCTACAGGGCCCACCACACAGGCCTGAGTGTCCAGAGTTTGCCCTCTGCTTTCCATGCTGCATCCTTGCCTACCTCATGGGCCTGGCTGGCCACCTTCAGGGCCTGAGAGCCCCCCAGGGAGGCAGCCCAGGGTCCTGGGAAGGAGAGCAAAGGTCACTGCAGAGGGCAGGACAGGACTGTCCACCTCCCTGTCCTCATGGAGAGTTTCCTCTGCAGGGAAAACAATCCCAAGATGTCATATTGACCAGACAGTTGGTCTCCCACAACCCCAGGGGAGTGGGAAGCCCTGTCAGCACTCTTTATGTGGATATGGCTGTGGTGGAAGTGTCCAGGCAACCTTTACCAGGCAGTTCTGTTCCTGGGCCACACCTGGCAGCCACTAAGGGTAGTGGGAGCCATGTGACACAGTTTACCTGGTCGGGCCCCTCGCCATCACACTTTGGGCCTTTCTAAATATCTGTGGCTCCCAGCCACTGTGTAAACCTTTCCACACAGACCTCAGGCTCTTCTTTGGAAGATAAAATTTTTAAGAGTGAGGATGTCAGATCAAAACCCCAAGTAGGGGATGAGTCTGAGGATGGTTTAGTTGGGAAGTCTCTGCACAGAGCCTCTCAGCAGATGGTGGCACTGCAGCTGAGGCTCCAATTGTCCCCTCCTCCCAGTCAGGCCTCCTGAGCCATTTTGATATCATTTGCCTCATAGCCAGATGTGACACTGGACTTTGTCTGTCCCCTGATTCACTGGGGACTTCCTAGACCCAGAGAGTAGACTTAGAGCCTATGATCCCAGTAGGGAAAGTGCCTCAGAGGTAGTACCCCATCTGCCTACAGCAGACACAGAATGTCCCCACCTGTCCCTGGAACGGGACACTCACGTCCCTTTCACTGTGACCAGAGATGCTCTGGAACAGAGTTCCAGGGAGGGCCACCTTGGCTTTGGACCTCTGAGGCTCTCCAAGATTTTTCTGCCAGTGGTTCCCCTACAGGAGGAATAGCATGCATGGAACAGCCTCCAGGACCTCTGGATGAGATGCTGGCCTCATGATTGTGGCCCCTAAGATAGGTGGTCACCCCAATGGTCATGGTTGGGGCCTCTTTCCTGACAAAGCCATGGCAAGATCAGGAGGGGAAGGTGTCAGGAGACAGAGAAAAAGAGCAGCCAGTGCCCATAGAGGGCAGTGGCTCTGCCCAGCTCCAAGCCCACCAGACCCCTGTAATCCTTGCCCGATGAACTCTTCATCTGCTGTCCACCTTGCCCACTGGCCATCAGGGCAGCTTTCACCCCCAGAAAAGCGTGGAGCCAGTGGCCCTGTGGCCTGACCTCCACACTCGTGGACTCCTTTCTCCCCAGGGTGAACCTGGACCCCAAGGTGACCAGGGAAGAGAAGGCCCCGTCGGCATTCCTGGAGACCCGGTACGAATCCTGCCGACTTCGGGAGATGGGGTGCAGGACACCCACAGCCTGACCGCTCACACTCGGCTCACGGCTCGGCCAAGCTGGCCAATTTGGGTGCTGAGACAGAAAGGCTTGCCGTGGCTCAGCCAGTGGGAGATCTGTTTCCAACTGGGTTCCTCCTGCAATGTGTGTTCCCTAGACAAGGGTGTCCCATCTTGGAGCCAGCTGCAAGAGACCAGCTTGTCATCCTGGGCTGGTCTGGGTGGGACCGGGTGACAGTGGACCCAATTCCCAAGGCCCTGATCTTCTGCATGAGGCCAAGGACTGTATTGGAGGCACGGATGAAGAACCCCACACCAGACATGGCAGCAGTGGGGAGGACAGGAGCAGACTCTGAGAGCCCCTAGGTTCCTGGGTGGATGGAGTCCCATATTGGGGAGGAGGCCTTTGAGCCCCTGGAAGACACCTGTGTGAAATTGTGGCTGGAAGTGGATTTGGAAGTGTTAGTATACAGAAGGTTTAAGAATTCTGCTGGGGGTGAGGCTGTCCAGAGCCTGCACTCCAGAAGGGGAGCCTGGGCCTGATGAAGAGGAAGGTCTGACAGAGCTTAGAGGAGTGGGGTCACCCCTGGCTCAGACAGGAGGTAGCTGGGACGGACCCATTTCGTTACAGGGTCACCCACCATGTCCTCTAGGCCCTGGCCCAGGCTCCCAATGTGGGGGTCCAAGAGCAGGTGTGTGGATGGGTGGGTGGGAAGAAGAAGGTGCCCCATATAGGAGGGCTGTGGAAGAAGCTATGGCCTCAGCATGGTGCCCAGATGTGCTTAGTCAGCCAGGAGGCTGGCTGCTGGCCATGTCTGTCAGGAGCATATGTGTCAGTGAGTCATACAGGCAGGGTTCTGGGAGACAGGCCTCCTGTGGAGGCCTGAGGGCATGGGCAGGTAAGGCCCCGGGTTTGACACATGGCTTCCTGTTTGAGGAGGCTTTTCTTATAGATAGAAATTTGGAATTGTAGTTTGCAACAAAGAATTTAAAAAGTAAGAAGGAAGCAGCAGCCACAAGAGGCAAAGGTGTTTTTTCAGTTCTGTTTCTTGGCGATAAAGGAAGATGAATGAAGTAAGTCTCCTAAATGAAATAAGGCTGTGCCAAGACTACCCCCCCCCCAAACGAAACAAAACCCAGAGGCTGCCTCACTTGTTTTGCTTTAAATAAGAGAAGTCACACTGCTCCCCAGCAGTGTGAAGTCTCACAGCAGTGAAGTCACACTGCTGCAGGAGAGAGGCTCCCAGCACGGCAGAGGCCTTCCTCTCCCACCGCAGTCACTGGCTTTCAGTTTCTTCTGATATTTAGTTTGCTCTAGAATCCTTCAAAAAAGTGTCTCATGACAAGTGTGAGTGTGAGTGAGTGTAGACCTGAGGTTCTCCCAAAATGCATCACACTGGTCAGTGTAAGACTGATTGTCCTTGTGGGTGTCCGGTTCAGCCATGACACTGCTGTGTAGACTCACTGAGTTACCTCTCCAGTGTCCATTAACACATATGCAGATTGTCCCCCGTATTTTGCTTCCCAGAAGAAAATACTTTAATAAATACCAATATCTGTTGGCTTGGCAGCTTGTCTGTCTCTGCCATCCATATGTCTGTCCAGTCACCCACTTATCTGTCAAGTGACATTCATTCATTCATCCATTCATCATCTGTCAGTGGTCTGTCCATCTATCATCTACCCATCCTCCATAAATCCATCCATCCCTTCACTCATTCATCATGTCTCTAACATCCGTTCATCCACCCACCTGTCCACTCACCCATAACCCATCATTTATCATCCATCCATCTTGAGATATCGCCAACGCCAAATCCGGAAGGTAAATTCTTAGCACAGGATTTCTTGGATAAACAGTGCATGTGTATTTTAATATTTGATAAAAATTCTTCAAAGTAGTCCCAACCTTCTTCCTCCCTCAAGAGCATAAAATAGACTGTATCCACACTTTTGCTAACTTGAGATATTGTAAACTTCAAAAGTGTGTTTCTGCTCCTTGGCAACAGTCTCGCCTGTCTCAGTTAGGGTGGCACTTGTGGACAGGCCAGGTGTCCTTTTTGGGGTTCTGGGCCTGCAGGAATGTTCTTTCTGGTTGTTGGAGTGCTTGGTTTTCCATTGGATTCTGTTTCTCAGTTTGATGTATATGACATTTTACCCACAACACAGACATCTTTCTAATTTTGCCCTCTGTGTTTTCACTGCCTGTGATGTTTTGCTGTTTTGCTACTCTATTTGGTCATCCTCGTATTTTCATGCTTTGGCTCTCATTTGTCACGGCAAGAGGTGAGGAGTGTCGACTGCACTTTCTGTGAACAGCAAGTCAGCTGCCGCCTTTCCTGTGACGAAAGGCACCTTCGTCATATTTAAATCTCTCTCTAACTCTCTGGACTTTCTGTGTATGCCCTACATCCTTATCTTCCCCAGTAGTGGTTAGCACCAGGCTGGGCCATCCCATCCCCTGGGATGTTTGGGAGCTTTCCCGTGCCACGTGGGTAGTGGAGTTTCAGATTGTCACCCACACCCCCACCGTGGTGTATTTTGTGGACAGGTGGACCTGCGCCCAGCCTTGCGGGGGCGGGTAGGGGCTGGTGATTCTCTGGGCATGAGATCAGATGCAGAAGAGGGTAGCCATTTCAATCCTGATCCCTCGAGGATAGACCCACACCCAGGAGTCATGAGAGGCCATCACAGTACAGAACACATTTGTGTTTTGACACACCAGAGACATAGAGCAGATGGCTGCACTGCTACAGAAGGAGAGAAGTTTCTTGAGAAATGTCCACTTTCCCAAACAAATCCCAAGAAAAAGCTGAGAAATCCAGAAAATGGGGCAAAAATTATAACTTCCTTTTGTTGACCCTTCCCAGCTTCACCCTTCCTCCACCCACATTTTATGTGGCCTCTACTTCTGGTAAGACCCCAGAGTCACCTACCAGGGCCCTCAGGGCTGCCTGGAAACGTCCATCAACGGGCTGCCTGCTTTGAGGACAATGCCCAGCCTCAGTCCCTTTTCTCTCAGTTTGCTGGAGGGGACCTGACACACCCCCCCCAGATGAAACCTCCTACCACTCACTTGCCTGCCCAGGGCACACAGGGCCTTTTGGATGATCCCCCTCTTCCATACCCCAACGCAGGGTCTCAAGGGCATACTTGTCCCCTGTGAGCCACAAGTTGGGAGAGCTGCTGGTCTTCCTCGAGGCTGTGTGCAAAGCCTGGTGACATGTTCAAAGTCTGGTGATGTGTGCAAAGGGAGAAGTTACCTGGCCCACAGGCCTGGTGGCCGGAGCCAGATGTGTATGTGGTCCAGGCAGGGACGGACACTGCTGATGCTTCTGTGACTGGCAGAGGCCATGGAGATGGATCTGGCTCATGGAGTGAGCTTTTAGGGGGAGGCTGTAAATGCTGCAAGAGGAGGCCAACCAAGCAAGGCCTTGTTGGGGTGCATTGACCTAATGCTGGGGCCAGTGGACAGTCCTCTGACCCAGCAGCTCCGTGGTGACTGGTGCGTGCTTCCTTTCTCTGCTGGCTGTGTTGTTAAGGTGCTAGGGGACCCAGCCAGCCCAGAGGACAGTGGGTCATGCCTGGGGATGGCTCTGGGAAAGTGAAGCTTAGGGGACAGCCCTTGAAACTCTGGCCCCATACTGTGAGAAAGGCTTGTGAGATGTGGTGGAGACTGAGGTGGCCTAGCACACAACTTGGGGGCCCAAGGGTCAGGCCCATGAACCAGGCTTAGGCCAAATGCAGCACTGGGAGCCTGGGGGCAGCAGGCCAGGTGTAGACCAGAGAGCACTTTGGGGGAGCTGACCAGGTGGTCCTGCATCAGAAACAAACCAGCTGGGTTTGTCCCCTCAGCTGTATGGTTGGGTGTCTGGTGAGAAAGAGGCTGAAGACTTGGGCAAGAGGTGTCCACTGCAGATGGAGTCCAGCACAGCCCACATGGGCTTTACTGGGAGATCAAGGTCCATGTGGCCACTGCAGCCAGCTTTGAGCAGGAGAGAGCGGTCTACTCACCCTGGCCTCTAAGGACCCCAAGAGAAGGCTATAATAAGGAGACTGCAGGGACACAGTGGGGAACCGACATAATCTCACCCAGTGCCAGCAGCCCCAGCCCACCTGCAGAGGGGCCCTGAGGGTCCAGCTACTGCCCTCTGGAGCCTGAAAGTGGTCAAGCCTGGCCCAGGCCCCTGGATGAGGTCTCCCTGTATGCAGTGGTGCCTTATGATCTGGGACCCTCAACTCACAGAGCAAGACCAGGGGTCAGTGAACTGGGGTCCCACAGGTTTCTCCATTTCTCAGGGTGAGGCTGGCCCAATTGGACCTAAAGGATACCGCGGTGATGAGGGTCCTCCAGGACCTGAGGTGAGTGCCTGCCCTGTACTGCCCTGTCCCCACACCCAGGAGGCCCCTCTCTCTCCTGCCCACCTGGAAGATCCTGCCCTGCCAATCCAGAAGACCCTGCCCTATCCGCTTGCTCATCCAGGAGGCCCCTTCCTGCCCCTGCTCACCCAGAAAACCTCTCCCTGCCCCTGCCCATTCAGAAGGCCCCTCCCTGGCCCCACAGGGTCCCAGCTCCCATTCTGCCCTCTCCCTGCCCTGACAGGGCCTGACTCCCTATGGGAGCCCCCACACCTGCACTGTCTGTGACCTAGTTGTCACCCCTTCCTCTCTTTAGGGTCTCAGAGGTGCCCCAGGACCTGCCGGGCCCCCTGGAGACCCAGGGCTGATGGGTGAACGGGTGAGTATTCCCTAGGAGACCCCTGCCTGGCCAGTGCTGGGTGGTCAGAGGCCCTAGGAGGCCCTGGCCCTGCCCTGAGCCAGCCTAGTGACCGAACAGCCAGTGCCCGAAGTAAACTCCTAAGCAGCAGACACCTCAGCTGATACCTCCTGCTCTGAGGTCCAGTCCAGAAGGAGTGAACCCCTAGGACAGCCTCTCTTCCAGGCTGACAGGAAGGGCCCTTGAGGTGCTGCCGTCCTGTGCCTGCACTGTCCCCTGTGTATCATGGTAGTGTCTCATATGGTGACAGGAGCTCTACTCCGCTTCCCCAGGGTGAAGACGGTCCCCCCGGAAACGGCACTGAGGGCTTCCCAGGCTTCCCCGTGAGTGTCTCAAGCCTCCCTGTGTACCCACAAAACTTCCTCTGCATCTCTCTGGTCACCTGGACACTGGAGAGGACAGGGAGGGCCAGAGCCATCTGACCTCTGCCAGTCTTGTGGTCCACCCCCATCTGCAGTCACCACCTGGATGCCTTCCCATGTCTGACCATGGTGTAAGTGTCCTGCTTTTCACCCACAGGGATATCCAGGCAACAGGGGCCCCCCAGGGCTAAACGTGAGTACACCCCTACCCTGCATCTGCCTGTCTGCAGGTTTGTGTGCTCACACTCGGAGCATGCATGCACACATGTCCACACATTCACGTGCATGTCCCACGCACGTGCAAGCTCAGTGCCCACAGCACACACATTGCACATGAGCTCAGGCACTGAATGAACACACATACAACACACACAGGGTCCCAGGGTCACCCTACTGGCCTCAGACACAGGCCAGCCACACTCACACCCACCTTCTCTGCTTCTCCCTCACCCCACGATTTCACCAACCTTCGTGTTCTGTCACCCACAGGGCACCAAAGGCTACCCTGGCCTCAAGGGAGACGAGGGTGAAGCTGGGGACCCTGGAGAGGATGTAAGTGATATGGGGCAGTGGGACAGAGCCACCCGGGTGTGAACCCCACGTCACACACTGGGAGGATGCACTCTTTGTACCCCGAGAGCTCAGGGTGGTGTGGTGCACTTGGCTGTGCCTGTTGACACCTTGCTGTTTCCTTCCAGAACACTGATGTTTCACCCCGTGGGGTTAAAGGGGCGAAGGGGTACCGAGGCCCAGAAGGCCCCCAGGTGGGTGATATGGCAGCTGGGTGGGTGGAGGGTACAGAGGGCCGGGGGAGACGAGGGACAGGGAGAGAGAGGATGGGGCTCTGCAGGAGAGCAGGTGGAATCACCGAAACAGTGTGGGTCACTGGGGAGAGGCCGGTCACCAGGGTGCGGGCTGACTGTCCAAGGATGGTAAAAGCCACATCCAGGGTAGCCAGAGGGTCCTGGGGCCAGTGCCTGGTGAGGACCCAGATCTGTTCATCAGGCCATCAAACCTGCAGAGAATATTCTTTGCCCTGTGGGAAGGTGGGGATGACCAGGGTGGGGTGGTCAGATGAGACTGGGGCTAAGGGGTCCACTGGAGTGCGGTTGCCTGAGGCCCCTGCTGGGCTCCCAGAGGACCTATGGCTCAGGAATCATCAGGTGGGTGCCTTCTGCTCAGAGCCCTTGTCTGTTGTTGCTCTAACAGGGACCCCCAGGACACGTGGGACCACCCGGGCCTGATGTAAGTAGTTATCTGCAAACGTCCTCTGGGGGCCAGGACCCCATGGAAGGCTGTTGGTGGAAGCTCCATAACATTGGGGTGACTGAGGGAGGAGGTGCCTCGCACTCGGGCCTCTAGGGCCATGTGATGACCACAGGGGACACGTGGTGACTATGGGGGGGCACATGATGACCATAGAGTACATGGCCTCCGGAATGACCAGAGGTGACATTCCAGAGGTGGGGGATACTCGATGACAATGGGGAACACATGAAGACCACAGGGATTAGGTGAGAGGACACATGACCATAGAGGATACATGATAGCCATACACTGGTGACCACATCAGTCACCTGTGCCCTGGTGGCAAGGGTGTAGTGGGTAGAGCCAGGCACACCCTAGGATGTGAGAACCCCCTGCCCAAACCCAGCCCTTCAGTGGCTCCAGGGGTGCCCAGGAGGTCCCCAGCCCAGATCCAGACTCAGCCTCTGCCTCTCCCTCCCCAGGAATGTGAGATTTTGGACATCATCATGAAAATGTGCTGTGAGTACCCTGACCTTCGAGTGACAAGAAAGTCCACACCAGCCCCAGTGCCCACCTTTCTGCTCCAGAAGGCTCTCTGTGAACTCCAAGTGGGGCAAAGGGGAAGATGGTCAGACAGTGCCCAGGCTTGACCCGACAGGTGGCATGGCCTCACACAGGGGTGGGCTGGGGCTGGGCTACTCATCCCCTGAGATAGCTGGTGCCCTGGCAGGCTGAGAGCCTGGGCAGCACTGGGCAGCAGGGCAACTACTGGGGAGCCTGGTGGCAAGGGGGCAGCTTGCAGTCGGAGCTGTCGTCTGCCTGTCTGTCTCTCATTATTGTCTGATTCGCTCTTCTCTCCCCTTTGTCCCCAGCCTGCTGCGGTGAGTGCTGTCTCTTCACTCTCAGCAATTTCCATGTGGTGGGAATGGCTCCCATGGTGGATGGAACTACGTCCTTGTCTCTGCATTTGCACAGCAGCAGTCACGTGTGTCTCGCTAGCTCCTTGGCCATCTGCCCCATTTGTCCACAGAGCGCCCCTGGGGCCACATAGGCCCAGGGAGCTGTGTCCCAGTCTTCTTTCTCTAGGACCTCAAGTAACAACCAGACCCCTGGGCCTGGCCTGTCCATTCTCCCTATGGGACCCAGGTTGGGATCAAGGGGCAGCAGGGAGCAGCTGTCACTGGACCTGGCCGAAGGCCATCAACCTAACAAGTCCTCCGCCTGAGGAGCCAGAGGAGGGGTGATCAGATCCTTAGCGTGGGGTGGGGCTGAACCATGAATCATGGAGGTCATCCCAGAGGAGGCCCTGAACGCTGATCCTTCCCATCCCACAGAGTGCAAGTGTGGCCCCATCGACATCCTCTTTGTACTGGACAGCTCTGAGAGTATTGGCTTGCAGAACTTTGAGATCGCCAAGGACTTTATTATCAGGGTCATTGACCGTCTGAGCAAGGACGAGCTGGTCAAGGTGAGCACCTGTGCCTGGTGAAGACATGGTGGGCAGAGAGCTGAGCCTCCCTGGAGTCCCCACTCATCACACAAATACCGGCTGGTCCTGGCCCCCAGCCCACCTGGTGAGGCCACTGGCCCCTAGCAGGTGGCATGGACATGGAGCAGTGCCCATCCTGGGCCCCAGGGCATGGGCCTAAGTCCTGCCAGTGGTTCCAGAACTCATCCCTAGAAGATAAAATGAGGGAGGCTTCATGTGGGGTCTGTGTGGACCCAGGGGAGCCCTTTCCAGGGGCCCCACATAACAGGCAGGCCAAGGTCCAGGGCTGCTGTGGAGGGGCCCTTGGGGAGGCATGAGAGCCGGGCCTCTGGGTGGTGGGCTGACCACATCGCTCTCCAGTTTGAGCCAGGGCAGTCCCATGCGGGCATGGTGCAGTACAGCCACAACCAGATGCAGGAGCATGTGGACATGAGGAGCCCCAACATCCGCAATGCCCAGGAGTTCAAGGAGTGAGTGGGCTCCCCACCCTCACCCCCAGACCCCAAGCAGGCCTGGTCCTACCCCTGGTCCAGACCCTGACCCTGGCGTGGCTGTCCCCTCGCTACACAGAGCCGTCAAGAAGCTGCAGTGGATGGCAGGTGGCACGTTCACGGGGGAGGCGCTCCAATACACCCGGGACCGGCTGCTGCCACCCACCCAGAACAACCGCGTTGCCCTGGTCATCACGGACGGACGCTCAGACACGCAGAGAGACACCACGCCCCTCAGCGTGCTCTGCGGCCCTGACATCCAGGTGGGAAGCTGTCCGCATCACACCTGCAGACACAGGCGCCTCCCCCTGGGGAGGCGCAGGGCACAGGCTTGAGGCCTACCTATGAGACCTGTCATCCCCAGGTGGTCTCCGTGGGCATCAAAGACGTGTTTGGCTTTGTCGCGGGCTCAGATCAGCTCAACGTCATCTCCTGCCAAGGCCTGTTGCCCCAAGGCCGGCTGGGCATCTCACTGGTGAAGGAGAACTATGCAGAGTTGCTGGATGATGCCTTCCTGAAGAATATCACGGCCCAGATCTGTATAGGTGTGTGTGGGCTGGGTGGAGGGCACATGTCCAGGCCATCATGGACACGTGCCCTCAGCTCCCTGGGACCCTTGGTCCAAGGAAAACGGCCCCCAGAAGCTGCCTGTATCTCTCACCTAGAGAGATGTTATAGCCAGGCCATGTGGCACTGACCAGGGTGGCTTCTGTCCCAGCCCTGAGCTTAGCAGGGCAGTGTAAGGGGTGTTCACTCACACTCACATGGGGCCAAGACCCCAACTGACTCCCATGGGCACACACACAGCATGTCCATTGGGCTTGGCCCAGCAGTCAGACCCGACTGCATGGTGCAGGCAGCTGGTCAGCAGGCAGTCACCATCACCACACTCACAGTGGGCACATGGCCAGCTGTGGGGCTGTGCATGCCTGACCTGCAGACCACTTCTCCTCTGAGCCTGGGTTTCCTCATTCTCAGAAAAGGCCAAGGTCCTACCCCGCCCCTTGGGTTGGAGTGAGGACCAGGAAGTGGTGCCTGGGGACCATCTGTCATTCCTGAGTTAAGGGACCCATCCCTCCTAGTGGGACAGCAGAGCTCAGGGTGAGCGTTGATTCCCTTGGGGGCCGGGGAGGGGCATGGTGGTTCATGCACACGGTCCTGTCTTTACAGACAAGAAGTGCCCAGACTACACCTGTCCAAGTGAGTACCTGAGGCTGGAAAGGGTGGGCAGGTACCTGACAAGGGGCCCCTGCAGGGCTCTGGGCAGCTCCTCTCCTCCCCTCCCCTCCCCTCCCCGACCCTGGCATCTCTGTGCAGCTCAGGGCCCCCTAGCCCACCCTTCACAGCTGCACCTGGCGGGCCTCGTGTTCACACCTGCCCACCCCTGCCCACAGTCACGTTCTCCTCTCCGGCTGACATCACCATCTTGCTGGATGGCTCCGCCAGTGTGGGCAGCCATAACTTTCACACCACCAAGCTCTTCGCCAAGCGCCTGGCCGAGCGCTTCCTGTCGGCGGAGCGGGAAGACCCCTCCCAGGAGGTGCGGGTGGCAGTGGTGGAGTACAGCGGCCAGGGCCAGCAGCAGCCAGGGCGGGCAGCCCTGCAGTTCCTGCAGAACTACACGGTGCTGGCCAGCACCGTGGACAGCATGGACTTCTTCAACGATGCCACCGATGTCAACGACGCACTGAGCTACGTGACTCGCTTCTACCGCGAGACCTCGTCGGGCGCCGCCAAGAAGAGGTTGCTCCTGTTCTCAGACGGCAACTCGCAGGGGGCCACAGCAGCGGCCATCGAGAAGGCAGTGCAGGAGGCCCAGCGTGCGGGCATCGAGATCTTTGTTGTGGTGGTAGGCCATCAGGTGAACGAGCCCCACATCCGCGTGCTGGTCACAGGCAAGACGGCAGAGTACGATGTGGCCTTTGGCGAGCGTCACCTATTCCGTGTGCCCAGCTACCAGGCCCTGCTCCGTGGCGTCTTCTATCAGACAGTTTCCAGGAAGGTGGCGTTGGGCTAGTGGGCAGTGCATACCTCGTCAAGCCTCCCTTCTCCTACCCATGACCAAACAGAAAGAGGAAATGTGACCAGAGTTTCCTGGCCAACCCCAACAGCTAGACTGCATTAAGGGAGAGTGTGACAGGCTGGGATGTCACCCGAGCTGTGTGCTGTCCTCTGCCACTCACCCGAGCTGCCATCTGTGTCCACTCCCTCCCTCAATTCATGCAGCATGGCAGCCACCTTGCTCGCCTCCCTCTGCACCTGGGCTGCGCACGTCCAGTCCATCTCATCTCCCTTGCTGCTGACATCAGTTCCATGCTGCGCCCTTTTCTGTTCCTGACGTCTAGACACCAATCCTTCAGGATCTTCTTTATCGTTTCATCCATGATTTAAGTCAAAGCAAACCCTGCTCATGAGTTCAGGTGAGCTGCTGGTGCTGACTGCTTGGTTTCCAGAAAATGGAAGGCAAGAGTATTCTCAAACACACACCTTGAGGAGGTGGCTCTTCCTCATCAGGTGCTTGGAAGTGGTCCAGGCCCTTGGGGCCTCCAGGTGAGCAGCAGGAAGACGCTAGCTTGGCCTCCTGACCTCACGCTCTCCATGTAAAGGTGCTGCCCTCTGGGCCCCACATTCACACAGGGCCTGGCCTGGATGGATGTGTCTGTCAAAAGCAGCCAGAAGCTTTATCCTAAAAATAGTGACTGTGCTACATCTTACTGAAGACCCTCTATGTTAGTTTCAGTCTCAGCCCCGTCCAAGCCAGCCATCTCTGCTAATAAAGGTTTCCACTCCTCTCCATGGCTGTTCCCTGCTGCCTGTCCACGCTTCCCACACCCCAGGGAGGAAAGCAGTGGTGGATGCCCAACCCCTAATACCCTCACCCTCCCTCTACCCCACTCCAGGAAGGCAGAGGTGCTGTCCTTGGCTGGATGCTGCCCTTGGGCACTGCTTACCTGTGTCTGGGAGGAATATACTGGGACACAGAGTCCTTGATATATCTGTGGGCAATGTACCGGAGGGCCCTATACCATGGACTAAAAATTAGGAGCAGAATAGGGTTCCATGGGCTGGATTCAACCAGATTAAACCCCAAAGACCAGCATCTGGATTTTAGTTTTGATACTAAAACATTCCCAGAGATCCAGAAGGGCAGAGAGCCCATAGGACCTGGAAAATGTCTGGAAGTATTGACCGTCACTCAGAGTAAGACAGCAGCCAGCCAGCAAGGCCAGGCTTGGGGCTATGGTCAGGAGGGGGCCTCTGGCCTCAGAAGGGGTTCACAGGAGGGTGAGACTGACAGAAGCAGGTCTGGTCCCGTGTCAAAAGACGTTTGCAATTGTTACAGACCTGGATTCCCACTGCTTATTCCTCCCCTCTTATGGGGGGGAGGAAAAAAGGTGAGAATGACAGGGAGAGAGGAAGGCAGGGGGATGTAGAGTGGGGTGCAGGGCCACCCTCACTGGAGTGCCTCACACAAGGCAGCCGTGAGAGCCTTCTACAAGAAAACGCCAGGCCCCTCTGCTTGATGGTGAGCAAGCTTCCAAGTAGAAATGGAGGGAAGGAAGGAGCGGGGAGAGAGCCAGAGAGAGAAACACCAACAGCTGAGTGAGGGGCAGACAGCTGAGGAACCTGAGGGGCTGCCTGAGTCTTGTCACCCCACCCCCACCCCAACACCTTTGTCCCTTCCTCAGAGGGCCAGGGGTGGCTTGAGGTTTCTCACCAGGTAAACATGCTGGGCCAAGGCACTTGGCCATGTTTATGAGCCCAGTGAGCCCACTGCAGCCAGCAGACCACATCCAGCAGGACTAAAGGGGAGGCTATAGGGTGGGAAGTAAGAACAGAGCCTGGGCCTGGAGGAGGGTGGGCTGTTGCCTTCTGCAGCGATCCTCCTTCCCCACTGTCCAGGCCCCTCTCAATCACCCCAGGTCTGCACACTGGATTCAGGTTGACCATGAGGCATGGTCCTGATGGAGGTGGATCCTCAACACACCCCTGTGGTCTCTCTACCTGCAGGTCCACTATCATGAGTGAGCTATGTAGTAAACATCGATGGACTCACTTATGTCTTTCCACAATGGCAGAACTTATTGAACAATGATTCATAAGTTTTGTCAATTTCCATTGCCTTTAATTCACCAAGTACTACTGATTTCACTTGATAGCTGCAAGCCATTGACAAAACAGGTTGTTTTGCTCTAATCTTAATTACTAATGTTAACTGTCAGATCACACACTATACTTCCCAATGAAATACAGATTCAATGAGAAAGGCTAAGAAAAGCAAGGTTCAAAGGTGCCTTGCTAAAAGCAAGAGCCTGGGGTAGTGCAAATGTAGAGTCACTGCAGGTGTCTGGAGAAGACAATCACAGTGGGGTCAAAGTGCAGATCTGGCTCAAGACACAGCTGGTTCAGGGTTTACAAGGTCCAGACAGAGGGGCAATCTGAGTGGGTCACGTAAAACAGGAGTAATGCAGAGCTAAGCCCCAGGGACAGAGTGGGGAGTTCATTGCCTGTTGATCCAAGACACACACCCTGGATGGTCTGATGGCAGGTGAGTGTGTGCCACTGCTCCTCCTTTCTATGATCCAGATTGGAGAGTTTCATCATTCCTTGGTCCAGTGTGTTTCGTAAGCTCATGGGCCTTGTTTTTCTGATATGGGTTTGATACCCACACCTGTTACTGTGCCCCTGATCTGATACACCCATGTGTCATAAGTGTAGAAGTCTGCCTCATGGTTTGTGGTTGTTCACTTGCACACATAAGATGTAGAGTCATTCTGACTCAGCATTTGCTCTCAAAATGGAGCACATTGCTGTTTTGTAAGATGAAGTCACTCTGAGAAAGGCATGGCAGTGTGGAGGAACTTAGAGCAGGCTACAGCCTAATCTCCATATCCACCATCCTCAAATGCCCAGGTGGTCACCAGGGACCCTAGCAAGATGGACTATGGGGACAGCAAGGCCTGACTATCACAGACTCTACTCAGAGCCCAGGGGAGGCCCAGCCCTCACATAGGTTAGGGTTAGAGTCAACTTCATGTCCAAGGACCCTCATCCATAGAACCTTAGACACAGTGAAGGACTTTCCCAAAGCTGCAGCAAGTCAGTGGTGATCTGCCTCTGACTGTCCCCAAGCCAGGACCCTTGCCCACTCCTGCCCAAGCCTGGGCCCACTTGGATCTAAGTCCCCCAGCCCCATCCCATGTGCACACCTGCCTTGTCCCCAGGGACTTCCCTGCCATGAATAATCACAGAAGATCCAACTGGAGCAATAAGTAGATTTTCTGGGCCAGAAAGGCTCTGGCCAGCTGCCTGGACCTTCTCTGCCTCCCAGGCAGTGAGACCCCAACCTGACCCTCCCCACACCCATGACTGGCCAAGAGTACACACAATGAAGCCTGCTGGGTGGGCATGTGACTAAGCCCATGACCAGCTCCCACCTGTCCCACTGTAGTTGCATCCTACCAATCTTAGCTGCCCCTCACCCAGCAGCTCACAGGGTAACAGTTTCTTTGTCCACTTTGGAGTCACCCAAACCAGCCCAGCCTCCTCCTGAAGGACAGTGGGAGCCAGAGGCATGAATTTCCCCCTAAGAGGGGAAGATGTCTCTGACTCCAAATGTCCTTCTCCCTGTATAGGCTGGTGGGGAGCCCACGGAGTTGGTGGCCAGCTCCACTGCCTGATACCAGGATCAGAGCAGTGCTCCTGTCCTCACCCCCTCCTTTCTTTGGCACATGCTGGAAGTGTTGGCATTTGACCCTGTCAGGAATTCCTACACCTCACCCCATTTGTCAGAACTGAGGGGCAGGGCCTGGCCTTGCTTTCACCTTAGAAGTACCTGGCTACAATCTCACCCCTCCCGGAGAGGGTAGTCCTCAGATGGAATGGTGCCCCTGCCAGTCCCTGGCTCCTCCCAGGTCACTAGGAGCTGCCCTAGGATGGATTAACCAGTGCTGGGGACACGGGATCTATGCAGCACCCTCCTGGGGTCCCGGTTATCTGGCTCGTAACTGATATCACCATGAGGGGTCAGAGGTCATAGCTTCTCCATTGGCTTTCCTAGGTTCGAGCTGCTGCTGTCCATGGTAACTTATGTCCACTTGGCCTGTGGTTAGCGCTGGCCCTCCATCAGCCTCTTTTGGCTGTGGCTCCCTGCCATCTTTGTCAAGTTTGAGAATATGTCCTTGTCATTTGTCCAGGTTTCCTCTCTGAGATGATCTTCTTGTACCGTGTTTGCATTTCTATATGTGATGCCACCGGCTTTCCTCCCGTGGGAGGTGAAGCAGATCCCTTTTCTCCAGTGCTGCATTTGGTCTCTTAGTGCAGTCTCAGGCTGAGGCTGTGTGGAAGCAGCACTTTCCATTGTGGTTCTGGAAGCACATGGAGCAAATGCCCTAAGAAGTTCCATGAAGGACTGCTGACCAGGGCACAGCAGACAGATGGCACAGAGGAAAAAGGAAAGTGTGGCCAGCTAGAGTCTGCCACATCAGCTGACCAGAAGTTGCTTTCTAGGGACAGCGATGGAAACACAAGACATATCATTTGTTTCTGGAAAGCAATGTCCCTGAGGATTGCCACTCTGTCCTTCCTGCTGCTCCTGGAGGTAGTTCTTCGACCCCCTGAGATGGGGGATGCGTCTCTCAGAGGAGACACACTAACCCACAGCGAGAGGTTTCCCTGCACCCAGGCTGACTGCCACAGACCCAGACCCAGTCACCGGTGCCATGGGAACCACGGGGACCTCAGCACTGCTGGCTGGAGAAAACCACCTGAGAACCTCTTGGGAGCCTCTCCAAACCAAGCGCACACTTCCTGTCCCCCAGCACCCATCGCCAAGAGCAATGAGAATTGAACAGGGATATCCAAGAATTGCCTCAGACGACAGCTCCTACAGTTCTGCAAGGAGTCCAGCCAAAGCCCCTGCCCATCGTGGGAGGGTGAGCAGCCATCGCTCACCACGCAGGGCACAGACACCAATAGAGTAGCCCCAGGTGCCCAGTGGGGGAGCCTTGACGCCTCCGATTGCCTCCAGTGGGGACGGCTGGAGAGGACCGGGGAAACTTCTGGAGTCAGAGTGAGGCCTATCTGGGAGTGGGTGACAAAGGTATGCATTTGCTGGACTTCTCTGGGCTGTACATGTAAAACCTGCAGGTCATGTGTGTAAAAATTTGACCTTAAGCACAGACGCAGCCTCTCTACCACCATCCTCCTCTGACCTCCGCCTCCCTCCAGCCAGCTCCCGGACTCTCCCTTACTGTTCCCTGTGGTCTGCCTTCCTGGGGGGCAGACACTGTGAGCGCCCCTCCCTTATGTTCCCATGAATGTTCTGTTAACACAAGAGCCAGCAGCTTTCCACAGGAAGAACATAGTTTACTTATTCATATTGGTATGACCCCAGACTCCACTCCTGGAGTGCACACCCTACACAATCACCTCCCCCAGAGGTGGCATTGAGAAGGGATGTCACTCCTGCATTGTGCTACATCACACGGGAGAATCTGTAGATGTGATGAAGGTTCCCAGTCAGTTGACTTGAAGTTAATCAAAGGGAAAATGATACTGGGTGGGTCAGACCTAATCAGAAGATCGTGTAGAATTGGTTGGAGGTTCCTCCTGCTGGTCTTGAAGAAACAAACCCTCTTGGGAGCTGTTTATGGAGGGCCAGTGCAAGAACCTGAGGTGCCAGCCACAAAAAGGCAACTCAGCCTTGTGCCCAAAGGGGCTACAATTCACCAACAACCAGTGGGTCTACACAAGGACCCAGGCTTCAAGGAATCCCAACACCT